ATGATGGTAACGGTTGCACAATAATATGAATTTAATGCCACAGAACTATGTACTTAAAAATAATTAAACCGAAAGTTTTTATTTATATATATCTTACCACAGTAAAAAACTAGGAACAAAAAAAACACAGAAATAATGAATAAATGAGTTGTCAAAAACTTAGGAAGATGTTAAATGTCCAATAACAGGAAAAAAAAGAATGATTAAATAAATTATGATTACCCACTCACTGGGATATTTACCTAACCAATAACATTTACTGATGGTGGCAACATGGAAAATGCCTCTGACACAGTATTAAGTTGTGGGGGTAAAATTGTCATAGACTATAATTGCAACTATAAATAAGTCTGGTTTTGGAAAAAAACTCAAAGAAAATATCAAAATGCTTTTAAAATTTACATTAGGATGATGAGATTATTTTCCATCATTTCCCAGTTGTTTTGGAAAGGGGATGCAATAATCTTTAATTGAAAATAAACTTATAATCAAAAATGAAAGAGAACAAGGGAACCTTTTTAATAACTGTTATTTAAACCCCTTTTATTAATTATCTATAAAATCCAAAAACCTGAATATTTTTGAGGCTTTTGCAGAATAGTATAAATATGTAAGTGGTTAAGTTTCCTGGAAAACCCTTATTCAATTCTATGCTTCAAAAACACTCAAGATTTGGGTTACTGAACAGAGGACACAGAAGAGGAACATCTCTGAAGAAAGAAACTTTCAAGGAATGTCATGTGTTTGTCACTGGGCAAAGACAACTTCCCAGAGGCAGAAAATGATCGGAGAGATGCCTATCTAGGTTAAAGCAGACTCAGCTTGGCAAATAGAGCAGACTTTGAACCTGATTTCCAAAATGAGGCACTGATTCTAAGTGGGTTATTTGTAAAACCGAATTCTGCATCCCACTCCTTGCTCCAGTTTACTTGTCATTATCTCATCATCTCTCACAAGCTCCAACTTGGCCCTCCCACCCCCACCACCCAACCAAGGAAAGAAAAGCAGAACAAATGCCCCTGGGCCCATGGGGGATGGCAGGAAGGGAAAGGAACTGGGTTCAGATGGTGCCTGCTCTTTAGAAGAGGCAGGCAAAGGGCGGAAGAAGGTTGGCATCAATGTCACAGAGCAGAGCACGTGGGGGAGCTGTAGCCCTTTAGACTCCCCACGACCTGCCTTTGAGAGCAACTCACAGTAGAGTCAGTTTCCCAGAAAAGAGTGGCATTAGGGGGCCTGTGGAAGATCAAAGTTCTCCAGATTCACAGGGTTCTAGCATCTGTGTTCTTTTCTGATGGGTCCTCTTGTTACTTTTTTTCTGTAAGAGTCTTATCCAATCTGCCTTCCAGAGCCAATGTCCACGACAGATACTGCCACAAAATACTCTCATAAATTTAGTTCCATTCCATGATGCTCTTGGATTCTGGTTGGAAGCTTTCCAAAGTCCCAGTTTGCTTCTCTCTTCCCTCTGCCATTTTGGACTGTTCTGTTCTCTCATCAATCCTAGGTGGTCCGAGATCAAATCTCTCACTGCACAGTGAAATTGCGCCAGACCACGGGCCTCATGGAGTACTGCTTGGAGGTGATTAAGGAAAATGATCCTAGTGGCTTTTTGCAGGTAAGTGTTAACTAGTTTCTGCTTTATATTCTAAATGTCCCATGGGACTGTGTCTAGGATCCCTGGGCAGGACTCCCAATGGCCCTGGCTGGGCATGGGTCCCTCGATAACAAAACCTACCTTCACACTGTGGAGAGAGGAAGGGAGACAATGCCTGCTAAATAAATTCCACTGACTTCCTGGAAGTGTCTGCCACCATGTACAAGACTGAGAAGTACATGGGCTTTTTTTGTTTGGTTTTTTTCTTGTGTTTAATCATGAAAACATAATTCCCTGTTAAGTTCTTCCAAGTTATTACCTTGCCTAAGAATTGGGTCCCTCTCCAGTAATATCTCTTGGACAGCTTCGTCAGCTAGTGTGCAAGGTTTCTACCTTCTTAACACTTCCTACTGGCCAGTAAGTCAGTGACTTCCCAAATACATGTAAAGTTTTTTTCATTCTTCAGTGTTAATTGTTTTACTGAGATGCTATGATGTAAGCTAGATATTACTTAAGTTTTGATCCTAGTGATGAGGAACCTTTTGTTAAGGAATATGTAGATCTCTTCCAACTCACATTCTACTAAATTGGCTGAGAGTGACAGAGGCAGACTGAATATAAGAAAATGAAAGAGGTCTCTACCAAAGAGTAAGGTGATGATCACATGAAGATGATGTGCTTAAAATGCAAGAAATTCCATATGCAGCCTCTCTATTTTATAAAACTCATTTCCAATCTTGATAGGATACTTACAGGTCAAATTAGAAGTTAAGAACTGTTGGTTCTAACAGGGTGAGCTAATTGCCAATATATCATGCTTTAAAGTTGTTGACTTTTAATGGATTAGTCATAAATAGCATGATCATATATCCAGGTTTGTCTATCAGGCCAATTAACACTTGCTAATTATTTAAAGTGCCCCCTTTCCAACTCACAAAAGCATTCAGATTTTCTTGATAAATCATGGGTTTCTCTAGTCATAACAGTGTCCTCCTCACCAACTGCACTAGACAGGCAGGTGTGAGTCCCAAGGTAGTTTGGTGGTAACGCTCCTGGAGAGTCAAGGAGCCGTGTTGTGTTTCGAGTGCGGTGTTGTATTTCTTAGGCTGTGGTCTTTGATGTGATTAGATTTCTGACGCCCTCATAAGGAGAGTGCACCTGACCGAGGATCAGTGGGGAAAAGGCACACTCACTCCCAGGATGACCACGGACTTTGATTTGAGTCTGGACAACAGCCCTCTGCTGCAATCCATTCACCAGCTCGACTTCGTGCAGGTGAAAGGTACGTGCTTGCATCCCCCGGGTCAGATAGCAAAATCCCAAGTGAATACTGGTGCTTGAAGCAGGATCAGTACCCCTCTGGTTAATGTTGCAAAAATCTGGAGTGGTTGCTATCTTATCATGCAATGAAAACAACTACTTGTAGCTGTGTGATGTACCTTTCAGCAAGCTAGATAAAATCAGATAAACTCAATGCTTGCCTCTTCGAGAGTCTTAGAGATTTCACATGCTCAGCATCAGAGAATAGCTAATATAAAAAGAGGTAGGGAGAGAAAGAGAATATCACTGTACATAAATACGATCTTGTTATATAGAAAGTAACCCAGAAATATTGATATAAATCAAAGGAGTCCAGAATCAAAACGACTGCTTCCACATGGACAGAGATAGTGAGCAAGGAGCTGAGCATGAATTGGTGGGAATTTGAGAGGATCACTGTTGGCCTGCCAATGCTGGCAGGAATATTCTAGCCTGGAAGGAAAATGAACATCTGAAATAAACTTTAAAATTGGTTTATGTGATCAAGGTCTCTGAGA